AAGGAAATGTTTGTATCAGCTCATGAGGTATCGCCTTTCCTGACCATATTGGATTCTGCCTGACCTCTGTCACGGAGACCCACTGATCTTCACTGATGTGCTGGATCACCTTGCTGCTGCAACCAGAGCCTCCTAAACTACAGTACTGGCTGTCACAAGTGCTTCCTCCAGATGTGCCAGAAACGTGCTGCCGCTGGCAGCCTTGCACTAAAGAATCCAGCCCAGAGAGACACGGGTCAGATGAAGAAAGATTTAGCAAATGTTTGAAGACGTTTATTCATGAGGTAGCTCAGGAGATTTTCACTAATGTCTCCTTTGCAGCCAGGCCACAGGTACTGTGTGAAAGTCTGTTCTCATGCATCTCATCCCATCTGCTTTTGGGCTTCACCTTGTGAAGAGTGAGGAAAAGAGAACTACAAACACTATTAATAACAAACTAGCTCACAGCTTCTGAATTTCCAGAACATGGCTCAAATGATCAGAATAAAATATTACCTCAGATTCGCATTGCTCTTCTGTGGCCTTCCAGATACCTATAAGACTGCTGATTTTAAATAAGAAAACTTATTCTTCCCTAGTTGCTCACACATGAGATGCCCGTGGTCCCCACACTGTAACATGCTGTGCTTCTGGATCCAGCATCACAAGGTGACATGCTCAAGATCATGTGTGTGGGACGAGGGAGCCAAGGGGCACACGTATCAGGTTATAAAATACCCACACGTTTTTACTATATATACACCCACTGTATTACTGTGCTATGCCATCATAGCATTACTAATTATTTAGGTGATAATCTCTATTGCTCTACAGTATACAATGCAATAAACAGCTGGTGCGATTGATTAAATGGCAAGGCAAAGCTTTTAAAGTACATGCTATTCCCAGCTCATTTACACACCTGCCATAATCCACTGCTGCTGTTCTGGATTGATGAGGAAGAGGACAAGGTTAAATTTCGCTGAGGACTTCAGGTTAGCCCAGAAGCTCAGAAAGCTATCAAAATGGGAAATCTGAATTCTTTTTATCCTGCAAGTTTGACTTGATACCCATGGTGCTATGCCATTTTAAAAGTTTACATTGTCATCCAAAAACAGGGCATAAATCCCACACTGTAACTTTATGTAGTATGAATACTGACCATACTCTTATGAAAAACTAAGTAATAGGAGAATTTGAGATTAAAATTAGAGTCTCAACAGACTAAAACGTGTTTTTAAAGACAAGGCTTCCTAAGTAAATCTAAATGCAGTTGCACATTGAAGAAATATTGACTGGATTTGCATTAGAAAGCTTGTTGTTTGTAAGAAATGTATTGAGAGACAGATATTGGCACATCAGATAATTCTGTTTTACCATTACACTGGTGCAACTCTTCTGTATTCCTTAATCCTGTTCCTTGGGTGTGGGTTTTTTGTTTGTCTGTCTGTCTGTTTGTTTTTTTTCCCTGGCATTTCTGAAGGTACCTGCCAATACAGGAGCAGATGGGTGCCATAAAAACTCCTTAGGTACCAGAAATGACTAACTGTTCCAGCTCCAGAAGCACTATAAGTCACCTCCACCATACAGTAACACGTGCTGTCTTATTTGGGCTGAAATCACAGAATCATAGACGTGTTGGTTGGATGGGACTCTGGAGGTCCTCTGAAACTCCCTGAAAGCAACTTGGAGCCATTGCATGTCACTCTTTGACACTCCTGAGGAGAGTTTGGCCCCATTGTCTTTGCAACCTCAAAGCAATTGCCAGCTGCCATTGGATTGCTCTTTGCCCTCCTCTTCAGCCAAATGCTTGGGAATAGCCTGTGACAGAGAGTGCACACAGTCTGGTGAACTAATCAAAGTGGGGGACCTAACAAGAGCTGTCCAGACACTGGGAAGGGAACCAACTGTTTTAACTGTCCCAATCTGCTGTTTTTCCTTTACCATATGAAATGTTGGGGTTTGAACCCCGAGCCCCGAATTAAGGTTGACATATGGGTGATTCCCACAGCCCTTCATAAAGAGGTGGTGAGTTTGCCTTATAGCTTCCCCTCAGGGTGCGGCCGGCCCTGCAGGGAGAGCCATAAGGGAAATGAGCCCCAGGGGTCCCACATTGAGTTGACAAAGGTCAGGTGTCTGCTTGGGGATAAAAGCTGGGACCACTTGCAGGGAGTCAGGAGTGTCTGTCTGTGGAGTGCACTCCACAGAGCGTCCTGGTTCAGGGCAGACCTCCTGACTCTCCCTGGAGCTGGACCCCAGTCTGTTTAGACCTTTGCGAACGCGGGCTGATCGGGTGAGAGTCGCCATGTGGTCACCTTTCTCTTATGTATTTAACTTGCTGGTCTGGCTGTTTCCCATGCCAACTATGGGAAACCTCGGTTCACTGTTTGTACCACCTGTTGTGGGCCAAGTCACATCTTTTGTGGGATTGCTGGGGGTGGTGTCATTTATGTACCAGCTGATTGATCTGTTTGTACCCCCGGCAGTCACTCATATCATAACGTTTGTGTCTACAATACAGTCTGCGTATTGGATTCTCTTCCTGCTGGTTGTATCGTTCCTGTTAGGCCTGGTCATTGGCAAAGCACCATACAGGCAGGATTAGATATACTTGTGCATCTACTTCAACACCTGCCTGCCTGTCCTGGTGAATTTTGTTTATCAAGGGGAAAAAAGGGGATCTTCAACTGTCAGCAATGGGGTGCTAGCACTACTGATTTTTCCTTTCCTTACTCTCATTGGTATATGCTAAAAATACTGTTATTAAGGACTTTGACATAGCTGATACATCTAAAGCCAGCGTGTGGCTCAACAGCACATTGAAATTTCCTTCCCGCCATATTATTACTAACAGCTGGAGTGAATTGGCTTATCAATATGCAGCATCACAGGAAGGGGACCATAAATTTATGCTACAAATCATGAAGGATGGCAAATTTGTTAGAGAGCAACAAGAAGCAATCTCTTAATTAAGCCAAGAAACAGGATGGTACCAACTCCAGATCATCAGCACATTATGATGCCTTCCTTGTGATCTGTCTGTGTTGACTGGAAGCACAGTTATCAATATATTAATATGCCTCCAAGCAAACCATTTAGCATGAAAGTACTCTTGGAAGAGTAATTTTTAAGCGCTGTACAATGGATGACCTGTGCCTTTCCCATGGACATAGACAGTACTGTATTTCCTACTTGATACCAGGAATATTATCTCTCTCTTTCTCTCTCATGACTGACTAAAGAGGAAATAAAGCATTTGACACACTTGGTTACAAGACTTGGATATTTGCAGCCAGTTGAGCATGTGTAGTGAAAGAAGCTGAAAAAGGATTAACATTGTAAAATATGTGCTGTCACACATGTAGTTATCCTTTTAGATTGTCTGGAAAAAACATGGAATCTGTGCACAATGGTTAAGATATAGTTTTCTTCCTTGGTTATAGGATAGACTTACAACTGTTTCACTGCCTACTTTCTCATTTTGACCTTTTTTGGATGATACAATAAGATGAATCTGAAATTTGTGCTGGTTAAGCAGAATTAGCTGATATGGACTTAATATTTCATTCCCCATTAAGGTATGAGTTTGTTCAACCTTGTCTATCAATTACCAGTTATCAAGGTGGTAAGAGCTGTTTCTAAGCACATGATTGCCTGAGCTTTAGAAGACACTTTCCATGTTACAGAGCCTGTGAGACTCTATCCATCTCTGCTCAACAAGGGGTCACTGGGGAGTAGACGACTCCCCATGGGCTTGCTCCTGTTACGAAGTTACGTTGTTATAGCCACAGCTCAGATGGTGAACTCAGGAGAAGGATCAGGGAGTCTGCACTGCTTTTGGAAAATCTTATTAGTGAACCCTCATATTTGCCAACAAGTTCGTCTTGTTTACATTTTCAGTGCCTCACGCTATGCAGAACACTGCATTCAGCTCTGGGGTCCCCAGTGTAAGAATGATATGGACCTGCTCAAATGGGTCCAGAGGAGGACCACAAAGATGATCAAGGGGATGGAGCACCTCTCCTGTGAGGACAGGCTGAGAGAGTTGGTGTTGATCAGACTTGAAAAGAGAAGGCTTCAGGGAGACCTTATAGAGACCTTCCAGTACCTGAAAGGGGGACTAGAGGAAAGATGGGGAGTGACTCTTAATCAGGGGGTGTAGTGACAGGTTGAAGGGTAATGGTTTTAAACTGGAAGAAGGTAGATATAAAGAAGAATTTTTTGAATGTGAGGGTGGTGAGACACTGTAACAGGTTGACCAGAGAGGTTGTTGATACCCCCTTCCTGCAAGTGTTCAAGGCCAGGTTGGATGGTGCTTTAAGCAGCCTGGTCTAGTGGAAAGTGTCCCTGCCTATGGCAAGGGGGTTGGAAATAGATGGGTTTTAAGGTCCCTTCCAACACAAACCATTCTAAGATTCTGTGACAACTGCAAATACATATTCAAGATGATCTTTGTAAAAGGTGGGAATTGGAAACTTACTTATTTAGAAGCAATAAACTGAGCATCTTATTTATATTTCTACCTTAAATATTTATATATCTAAGCATTTGAGACATTCAGTGGCACTGAGGACCAGTTCTGCTGGTGTCTAGTATATACGCTCAAAACACTGGAAAATATCCAACCAAAGGATCAGTCTGGTGGATGTTTTAAGGGTCTGTCTGCCACAAATCTGGGGTCAGCAAGTCACTGTTACAGTCACCGTGCCTGGAAAGAAGGACTGGCTGTGATTGTTTGGAGCCCTGAAGGCAGCTTTCAGAAAACCAGGCCCCCTAGTCCTTATTGAAGTTGGCACCTGGGACTCCAGGAGGGAGCTTTGCTTTTCCTCCTGCCCGCGTTACCTCCTCTGCTCTCTCAGGCGCAGCCCAGGAGAAATGCAGTCTGTGGGGCTGGGTGACCTCACCAAGGTGGAGGATGCAGTAAGCAGAGAAAGAGCAGCCAGGCTGGAAGAAGGAACCCGTCCGCTGGCGTTAGCTGTGCGCTGGCAGGCAAGGGGCATACTTCCTAACCCACGTCTTTTTCTTCGCAGATGGTGCTGCTGGCTCGCTGCGAAGGACGCTGCAGCCAGATGTCACGCTCGGAGCCGATGGTTTCCTTCAGCACCGTCCTGAAGCAGCCTTTCCGCTCCACCTGCCACTGCTGCCGGCCCCAGACCTCCAAGCTGAAGGCCATGCGGCTGCGCTGCTCCGGGGGCATGCGGCTCACTGCCACCTACCGCTACATCCTCTCCTGCCACTGCGAGGAGTGCAACTCCTAGGGACCTACCTGCCACAGCAGGGAGGGCACTGGGATGCTGCTGCTGCTGCGGAAGGCTCCTGAGAAGGAATCCAAGGTGAGACCACTGCCCCCAGCATACCACTGCAGCGAGGACAGGACTTACCAGGCTGGAGTGGATCTGAGAGCTGAAGTGTAAAACATCCTGGGGCCCTGGATGCTGCCGGTACTGAAGTGTGGGTTGTGACGCAGACAAAAGCACGAGGACTTGGTTTTAAGAATCCTTTCTTTTTTTCTGAAAGGATATTTTTGTGAGTTTCTTCTTTTTCAGGCTCAGCTCTGACTACAGAGATGTGCTTCTACTTTAGGCCAAGGGCAGCAGGGGAAAGGAAAGGAAGGTCAGCTGGGTGACAGCACTGCACTCTGGAAGCTGGCATCTGGACAGAGTACGGGCATCAGTTCCCACATACAACTCCTTAACCTACCCATTTATTCTCAGTCTCCTGGTTATACTGGCCTTCAGAACAAGCTCTGCTGTTGGCAGGGGTTATCCGTTACTGATCTAGCAGCCAAGTGCTGGATAACTTTGTGGTTTAGCAGAAATTACAAATCACTGAAAAGCGAACTGGATATGAAATGTTGCCCTGGGATTAGCCAGCCCCAGCCAGCTGAAATGATTATTTGCAGTGTGCAGCATCAGTGACTGAGTGACTCTTGAGAAGTGAAAGGTCATGAGACTTATTGTTGCCCTCCAAAAGCCTGGAAATGTGACACATCACTTCTGTCAGAAAAGCCATTATTCAAATGCTAAAAACTAATTGAAGATTAAAATGACACATACTAAACAGAGTCTTTTCTTAACTTGAGTAGGTCTGTTGACGCATAGAGCCAGAGCTATCAAAATAATGACCAAACCTAGGACTTATTTTCATCTATAACTCTTGGGCCATTGAGTGAATACCATTTTGCCTTTTAAAGACAGGCAATTACAAACAAAGGGAGTCACACTGATGTGCCTATAGGAATTTCAAAGCAGAGCCTGAGTCCCAGTGTTATCTACTTGACCACAAAGGCTGTGCTTCAATTTACTTAATTATCTGCTAGCCGGGATCCTGGTAAACTCACCAACCAGCTTGGCATCTGCTCAGGGAAAGGCAAAGCTCTTGGCTAGTCCATACACCCACACATCTTTTGCGTGCACACAAGGATGTAGGAGACTGTGGTGGAGTTAGTGAAAGCCCTGTAGGTGAAGCTGTCCCACAGCCAGGTCAGCAGAGCTGCAGGATCCTGCAGAGCGGGAGCAGCCAGCACTTCTCTGTAAGGAGCAAGTGAGGCCATGAGCTGCTTTCCCCTGTAGAACCACTGCAGAAAGAAATGCCTCAAGGAGCTGAATCAATTGCAGTGATTGACAGGGTGAAATTATCTCAAAATAACACAGGATCCCAAGTTTTGGAATAGTATTTGCACAGAAATTCTGTTGCTCTTCCATTAACAAGGGGCTATGACTGCAAGGAAACAATGTAACAGTTCTTATCTCACATTACAGTTCTTATCTCCTTATGGCAGTATCCCGTCAGTTAGCAATATGTTTGTGATGTTCTTTTAAACCTGGATAAGCAATTTTTTTGATAGAAGTCCTGAAGATGTTGAGAGCATCTTTGCTGTGCAAGGATTCAGAGCCAGGGCACTTTCTATCTCTCAGTAGCAACTGTGTGCACAGTCCCTGCACAACAATGTCTGGCAGGGCCCCATGGTAAGGAGGAGAAGTCCTATCTAAGCCCAGAGTTTGGTCCATCTGTTCAACACCATCCAGTCTGCAGCAAATGTCATACACAGCAGCTTGAGGATGCATGCTGATGTTGCAGGGGATCCCCAAGGTCTGCCAGGGAGGGCAGCCATCCTGTGGTCTACACAGGACTTACTGCAGCTGCTTGAGCAAAGCCAAAATTCTTTGCCAATGCCTCCTCACGTCAAATATGTATGGGATATGAAGGCAGTCAGTAGTGGAAAGTGACGTGGCACAAGTACGTGCAGACATCTGTTAGAGAGATTTGTGACACATGGGAAGAACTGTCCCTGTCTTCCAGAGATGACTTGGAGCTGGCCAGTTCTCAACAACACAGGGCTGCGAGCAAACAAAAGGGTGAAACAAACTGTTAGAAGCTGAGTGGCTCAGGTTGAAATGTCAAAACTGGGAGTGATGAGCCCCAGTGAGCTCATTAGACACCATGCATTGTTTCAGCCCTGTCAGTCATTCTTTTCACATCTGATGCATGGTCTGAACATCAAAGGGTGAGTGCAGGGAGTGTGAGCCAGGCATTATCACCAGACCACTTTATATGAAAGATCAAATGTGCAATTTTTTTCCACTCTCTTCCAACCTCTAGCATCTAAAAATCCCATTAGTCAAAAAAGCACCACCCCCTACTGTTAATTATATATAGAAAATTCCAGCCCTTATCTGAAACATCAGCAATACCTTTGATAACCAAATAACTACACTGCAAAACACGCGTGACCTCTACACGTGGGTATAGAGACTGCTGCACACAAGCAATGCTATGCAGCCATCTAAGGAATGGGGAATGTTTGAAGGGTAACTGCTATATCCAGCATCACCTCCCCCTGGGTCGTGCTGCCACTGGCCTCCTTTGCTGGTGCAAAACGGGATGCAGGGGGGCTGTGACACTGAAATCAGGTGACAGTTTGTGGTGCTCCTACACAGCTGCAAGCAGCTCTGCTGGCTGGCTGGGACATGGCAGAGCAGTGTGGTCCTGATCATGTTTCTCTGGTAAGGAGGGAGGAGGGGTTTGACCAGAGAGCATGCCTGAGCCGATTTAGAAAAAAAAGACAATATTTATAGTGAGAGGAGAGCTTGGCTGGTATTTATTCCCACATCCCCTCGCTAATACAGTGCCATAGCTATAATTGGTCCAATTGGTCTCACAGAAGATATTCATGTTTCAACAAAAGTTTTTATTTCTCCCCTTCTCACACTCCACATTCCTTACACTTCTGCTCAATTCCTCTCATGAAATCATTGCCTTGTGACCACAAAGGCTGTTGCCAGCCATAAATGTTGAGGTGACTTTAACGTTATCCAATTTAACTGTTGAGTTGAATAAATGCATGGAAGGAATATAACAGAAATTATGACGGACAAAACAAAACATACATGTAAATAGCTAGAGCGTGATATTAAAAAAATTAATCAAATTTTCACATTCTCCTTTTGGCTTTGTCAGGCAATCTTCATATTAACATTTAAGGAAAGGAGAGGCTATTCTTCAAAACCAAAAGCCCCAAATTCAGCTATAAGTATATACTGTTATACTTTTTTTTGTCAATATTTCAGGCAAGTACATGCCGAATGAAGTGCACAAGTGCTACTGATGTTAAAATTTAGGAGGTGTATTGGAGGAAAATAAAATGAGGCTTCAGGTAAAAATTACAGGATATGGCTCATGGCAAGAAAGAGCCTAGATGGTGCTTGCAGATGAAATGGTTTCCTGATTTCTTAGCCTGACACCATTCTGGATACGTAAGCTCTGGTTTTCAAGTCAGACTACTATGTAAGTGCTTCTTAAATTGAACAACAGGGAGGGCAACGTCTAGTTGTCCAGATAATGTTGTGGGGTTTTTAATTTGCTAAAGCATCCTCTCACTGGGATTTGAATGAGAAGGCTTGCTCCCTTTTTCCTCTCACTGTACCTCACCTTTCAGACACTGTCTTCCATCACAGAAAGGGTGGTTTAGCTGTGATCATCCTGTGGTTTGCTCAAGATGAAATATCATACAGACTTTTGACTGTCACCATTCTATATCCTCTTTTCTTTTGATTAAGTCTCTGAGTCCACTTTGGCTTACTTTTGAAAGTCACCTGTCCCAGCAGTGGTTGTGTTTTGTTTCATCTGGATTGACTGTACTCATGGAGACCAGAGGGAAATACTAGACCTTTGCTGGTACCCTTTGCTTGTAAGAGAAGCCTTATAAGGCTACTGCATTTTGTGTCTATCAGAAATAATCTGTGATTTGCCAGAACAAAAGAGACCATGACCTAGCAGATTTTAATTCTCCTGCTCCCACCTTCAGCGGGTCTGTTAAGTGTTTAAAGTGGCATAGATGCAAAACCAGTTTGCTGATCAGGCTTTACATGAATCATTAAAATGCAGAACTCGCTGCTTTCTTGGAGATGTTCCACTGACTTACTTTACACCTCACCTTGCCCTCTGAGCTTGGAGAACTTCTATCAGATGAGATCTTGAGCCTGGCTGTCTCCCAACGGCCTTTATCAGGGCTTTTGTAAGCTACTGTTACAGTGCTCATAGCAGTTACAAAGAGGCAAAGCTTGCTGACATCCATGGTACACCACAACCTGTTCTGGGCCTTCATGTGAGCCTTTGTTGAGACCTGTTCACCAAGTCTTTTCAAATATCCCATGATGCCCTGAAATTCAGGCAATTACAGCCAGAATATTTTTGTGAAAAGACACTGCTCTGTGTGTCTAAACTCAGTTCTTAGGACCTGAGGTGAGAAAAGAGATGCCCCTGCGCTTCCTTTTATGGGTGTTTTTTTGATGCCTAGTCCTACATATTTAAAGACAGTGGTTTCTTACTGAATTTGTCTGAAACAGGATTAAACCCTCCATGAAATGCAGTTCTACTTAGCAAGGAATTTTTCCTCTGACTTGAGCCATAAATATTATTGAAAAATCCAAATGCCGTTAGAAAGGTCAGTGTAAGAGGGATGTGTGTGTCTTACTTTCTTTGACTCTGTAGTTATTTAAAATACAAGGGCTTTGGAAAAAGACAGATAGATTATATCCACAGTAACAGTGACTAAGAGCCTTCTAAGATAGATTACATTATAGCTAAGAGGTGTTGAGACAGGTATGCTTAGAAAAGTGCAGCAGGCTGTGTTGGAAAGTAGCGGCCCAGTTACATTCACTGTGTCTATCCCTCTTATTTTACAAGCAAGGGGTCACAGTCTTTTTTTTATGGTTCAAAAGAGTGAGGACAGGTAATCACTAGTCTGCAAACTATC